ACTTCAGCTATGGAGCTTATCGAGGGTCCTGATCACGAAATATGACATCCCAATTGGCGCCATTTGGCGCCACAACTGATTATCACCAAATTCGCTGTAAACTTCTGTATAGGGTTATTTGGGGCCCTGATCACGAATATGACACTCATTTTTGACATTCGTGCTGTTTAACGCATACTTTCTGCTTTTCTAAGCTTTCTCACCTACAGCGCCTAAGACTAAGCTTAGGGGAGGGGAGTGAAACTCCGGAGTGGGTAAACCACGCACCGTGTGGCAAAAGTTGGAGTGTGTCAGACCACAGGGGAATGGCCTACTCACTTTGGAGCCCTCCACTATTCAAAGGCTTAGTCCTGATTGCGATCTAATTAGTGCGAGGGCGCAGACGAGCAGGAAATAGGCGCCGAATAGCGCCAACAACAAAAACGAATGTCATATTCGTAATCAGGACCCCAAATAACCCCTATACAGAAGTTTACAGCGAATTTAGTGGGAATCAGTCGTGGCGCCACCTGGCGCCAAATGGCGCCAATTTGGCGCCAGCGCCAAAAATGAATATCATATTCGTGATCAGGACCCTCGATAACCCCCATAGCGAAGTTTCAGCGAAAATTATTTTTTGACCCATCTCACCCCCACTGGGGTTGTAATAGTGCAATAGTGCCAAAAATGATATCATATTCGTGATCAGGACCCTCGATAACCCCCATAGCCGAAGTTTCAGCGAAAATTATTTTTTGACCCATCTCACCCCTACTGGGGTTGTAATAGTGCAATAGTGCCTTACTTTCCATTGACGTTTACGTTACAAAGCGCAAGAACACATACATTACACAAAAACCAGAAGAAATAACGTAGGAAAAAAGCTGATAGCAGCTCGTAACTTTAAAGGACTCCTTGAGCCAAACTGGCATTAGAGCAGACTGTGCACCACAATGCCCCTAACTGGAATAGACCCGGAAAACCGATTGGTTTTCACCTCCACGAATCGGTTTTATGCGCTGCCCGGACGCATTTCGTGAACACAGAAACTTCAGATGGCATGGGCGACCACGAGATATCTTGGATGTGCTGTCTCAGACTGCGGACACCAGTGGTGTGTTGTGTGCCACTACCGTCCTGGGTAAAATAATTATTGCACTTTATTTTCTTAAAGTCATCCATGAGACATCTACTCGAGAGTGTATGTTTCAGCGGAAATATTGTTGGGCAATACCTTTACGAAAGAGGTAATCCATGCTCTCGTTGCCCTATTGGGTTCTTCTGCGACTCATCCATGCTCTGTGCGGCTATCACTCGCTGAAAAACAGAAACGTAGTAGTATGTAGTATGAACAAATAAATATTCGCAATGAATATCTTTGTGCTCGATTTCAACTTCGAAGAGGTGTCCATTCTTCCTTCCACGCAACTAACACGTTGACGACTGCGTGACGCGGTAACGCGTCCCACTTTGCGCACCTCGTGGGACATTGTGACGCGGTAACGCGTCCCACCCAAGTCATCCCTTTTTCTTGCGCTTGTGCGACTTATTCCTAAGGTCTTTACTCTATCTGTCATACATTAGCATACTTAAAAACCACTTGGTTCACAGAATGGCCAAATATTCGTTAAGGCAGACGTTTTCCAGATCTTACGGATATGTCTCAATTTATTTCTTGTTTTCTTTTCAATAACCTAGACATGTTGATAAAAAGGAATGACAGATGTGAATACTAAACTACTCGAACGGGGTTTTTACTGAAACAGTCACGTCTAAATTAATTTTATAACCACTCAAGAGAAATTAAGTAAAATTTCCCTTCTCATGGCCTCAATACGTCATTTCGGTTAAACCTCAACTACTGCAACTCCTGATAAGCTAGACAGATCGAGCACCATTGGAAACATTTCGTTGCATCTAAGAATTGCGGATTCGCAATTTAAAGCAACAGTTCAGGAACGGTTTCGCGGGAAAAAACCACCAATAATGAAGTTGTAGATGAAAACCAGACGATTAATGTATGAAAAACTGGAAAAAAACGTCGGGGAGGGTCTTAGACAGGTACTCTCCCTCTGCCGCTCAGCAATGGATAAAGACGCACGTTGGACGAGTTGTCTGAACGTGCCCGCTGTAAACGCGCTCCATTTTTCAATCAATTTTCCCTGTGGTCCCAAAACGAGCACGATTGCCGACGCGTCCAATGACGGCCGGCAAGGGGGCGGGATTGGGGAAATCCCCAAGAACACCCATGTTTGAGGGACTTTCCACCCTGTTTTTGAGTTTCTGAGGTAAGTTCGTTTATTATTTCCACTGCATATGTTCTTCACTAGGGCTCGTGTATCCCTCAGTAGTAGTGGCATTGAAATTTTCGGACCCTCCCTGAACTGTTGCTTTAAAGCTAATGGATTTGGTGTGCGGCGGCTGCACTCGCAAAATCGCTCTTGTCCCACGGGTGCAAAAGCACAAAACGCGCGATGTCGCCAACGTGTGAAAGGCACAATATATTCCATGGTCAAACTGGTGTGGTCCTCGCACATGAATGCATAACTGTTGGTTCAAAATGGGACGGCAGTGAAGGAAAAAGTAAAGAGTCTGTGGAAAGAGCTATGGTCACCGGCTTACTCACCTTTGCATTGTGCCTTTGCCCTTACTAAGTCTATCAGAGACTGACGCGAAGATCAAGTGTGGTGTTAGGCAACAGCCTGCTGCGAAGGAGGGACTTGCACTCGCTACACCTAACTAAATGCAGAGCACTAGCGCTCTTGTAAGGTGATTTCCATGCACGGGAATACCACATCCGTGACGATTCTCTAAGAGTCGATTCTACAAACCAAAGCGTTCCACCGCTTCTGCTCGGGTTATGCCTCTATGTCGGCTACTGTTGGTACATATGTGGACCGTGGTCAAATGGACTGCAACACTTTCAAGGGACAGACGCACACTTTGAAGGCAGTGTGAGCGCAAACTTTATAATCCTTACTCCAAACCATCTAAAGGAGCCATTTTGGAGTGAATACTGAAGAAATTTCAGCGCTGGTCCACTGGTCAGCGCGTGTAACTTACAAAATCAGTTTTGAATGTTCTTCATATTAGTGTTTGCAGTGTTATAAATGTGAATTTGGAAGTGGTATCAAACAATAATTTCAATTTTTTTTTTCATTTGGGAGGAGATGGCGTAAGGACAAAAGTGGTCGCTATAGTGGATATGGTCCGTGAATCGCATCCTAGCTCAGATCTCGCGTACGTCAGCCGAGAGTTTCTATAGATGAATATTCGTTGCTGGGGTGGTAGTACAACTTACCAGAACACAGCCTCTCTTCCTCGGTCCTGCCTGTGGGTTGAAGCACTGCCCAGGATCAAGATGATGTGGTGAGTGGGTTCGATAGTGAAGGCGGGGGTGCGGAGTGGACCAATAATAAGAAGAAGATCATCATATCAGAGATCACAAGGCTGAGAATGGATTTCGAGAATTTCAAAGACAAAAACAGTAACAGATAGCAACACCACACAGAAAGATATCGCGAATGGTGGACGCGTCTGGATCTATGAGGTGTACGAGAATCTTCCCTCTAATTGGAAGTCCCTGATGTCGGAGTGACGGAGTTCCGTCACTAACTAACCAGAAGGTCGTTTCAGGTGTGCCAAGCTTTTTCAAAATGGTTTCTTGCATGACATTGGGGCACATATGGGGACCACAGAAGCATGGTTCATTTTTCCTGAACGGCCCTCTGAATACCAGAAAAGGGGTCCCTAGTTCGATTCCTCGTGGTGACAAATTTTGCATTTCGAGTTGACGTTTCAAAATTCGCGCAAAATGGAGTTAGCATGAATAATTAGTGTTAGTTACCATGTTAATTAGTTAATAATAATTAGTTACCATGTTCATGACTAGGACCGTCAGTAACCCTTACAAATAGACTTTGATTAAAAAACTGGTGAAAAAGGTGTGACACCACAGTGGGGCTGCTTTGTGTCACACCTCTTACACCAATTTTAAGTCAAAGTTTTTGTAGGAGTTACTGACGGTCCTAATCATGAATATGGTACTAATTATTCATGCTAACTCCATTTTGCGCGAATTTTGGAACGTCAACTCGAAATGCAAAAATTTGTCACCACGAGGAATCGAACTAGGGACCCCTTTTCTGGTATTCAGAGGGCCGTTCAGGAAAAATTGAACCATGGTTCTGTGGTTCCCGCATCTGCCCCTATATCATGCAAAAGACCGTTTTCAAAAAGCTTGTCACGCCCTGAAAGACCTTCCTGGTAGGACATTAGCGAAGGCATGTAACCGAAGGAGGCATGTACCAACGGAAACATGTCGCATTCTATTACAGAACAGTTCAAGGACCGGGAAAAAAGTGCAGATGTGAACCAAGTTACCAGGGTGGCTCACCTGGCAGAGCGTTCCCTGAATGTGCGAAGCTTAACAAGGCTCATGATCCAAGTCGTAAGAAAGTCTACAAGGCAGGAAAAATTGTTATAGAAGAGCTCACTTGTACGAAACCAGAGGCCTCCACAATGGGCAGGACGTGTCTTCGAGTAGGCGGATCTTATAACTCCTCATAACTCGGTTCCGATACTGCACGGAAACAGGTGAAAAGTGAGTAGTGATTGGAGAAGGAGCAAAGGCAAAGTGCGATAGATGGGTGGAGCGGGCAGCGCGATGGATGGAGCTTTGATACAAAACCGATAACTGGTCGTACTGATACCCCCGAAAAGGGCGGGGATCGTATAACTTCGTATAATGTGCTAATGCCCGTGACGGCTAAGGATTTTGACACTCGCTCCATGTGCGTGGATAGGTACCACTTCCTGCATTCATTTCTCGCTCTGGAGACAGTGCAAAGAAAAAAATTATGAAAGAAGTCTTTATAAATATTTCGATGATATCTCCATTCAAAAACAGAACCTTTACATTTGTACAAAGATCAACATCACGATCATCTTATTTGCCGGAACATTGTCAAGCAGAAATGTTCTCCATTGAGCCAGGAACTTGGTGTGACAGTTGTCCGAGTCTAAGCAACTGTGCTGATCAGGGGACTAGCAGCCACTGTACCATTGACACGTTCACGTCGTACCTTCCGTCGCGTCGGGAACCTTCGTAAGAGGTAGTTGTTCGCAGCAGCCGTGACTTGTGCTAAAAAATTGTTTTGGAATTTTTTCTTGGATCGCAATGCATCGAGATCAGATCTGCATTACAGATGACTGACGGTGTAAAAACTGGACAGACCTGACCTCGATGATACTATAGGGTAAAATGTCATTAACAACAGCGGCAATAATTGCTTAACTAAAGAAGTTGTAATGTGGAAGAGAGGGTGCCGTAGAATTTAGAATTCATCGTGGAAAAGGACTTTCACCAGACTTCACTTGGAAAATTCTACAACTGAAAAAGTGCGACTCGGTCGCATGCCTGATCTATAGGAAAGTGTGGTGTGTCGCAATAACGCAATTTGTGGATAGGACTTAAAGGCACGGATCGCGTTCAGATTCTCCTTGAGTGAGGTAGAAGAACCCTTAATCGCCGGGGTAGTGATACTTTCTCGACTTGAAGGTGTGAGGAGCCAATGCATTCGTTTATCGCTGCAACCGCTGTCACCCTTATCAGTCGCAGCATGCGTGACGTTTATACGCTCTCGCGTACGATGCTCTCTCGCGTTTCGCTGTCCTCGCAGCCCAGTGTTCCTCGTCATATGAAGGGAAATTCCAGGCCTTAGTGGGCTTTTTTGTTTTTCTTTTTCCTCACTACTCATCGCACTTCTTGTCCGATTTTCGAACAAAGCAATTCATCGATCCCGACCCGTGCTAAAACCTAAATGTGATGTGAGGCCTCGTTTCAGTGGCTGCCGTGTACTGCGCCAATCATCATGCTGGCCATGATACCGTGAAGGCATCAGCGATTTTCAGGATTGCTTCTGCTGCAACGGCTCGACATCTACTCGGCAGATTCTCCACTTTGCAGAATAGCAAATATGAGCTT